TATCTGCAAGAGATTTCCATCCTGGAAGACCATTTGGAAGACCACTTATCAAGAATATTTAAATCATGATTTAAAGTATATTCAATAGTTGCAACATTATAAGAGGAACTTTGCAACGAGTTGTCATCTGCAAACAATCTGCACAATTTTTTAAAAATGAAAAATTGAAGAATTGGTTTGTGTATTAAAACAAATACATTCTACCGAGTAATAAAAATACCAAGCTATTGATAGAATGTATCCTTTATAATTTTCAAGTTTGGTGTACCCATCAAATACCAAAGTTTTATAAATATTTCTTGCGTTAAAATCATGAAATGTCATGTTTAATGTACAATTAAATATACCTAAATAAGCACAGATATACGTGGTTTCTGCCTCTAAGTTGATTTGATTCTGTTCACAGAAGCTAAAAGAATTCCAATATGTTTTTATTTCTTTCTATCCAATTTGATTTTACATGTATAACAAGAAGAGTCTATACAATTTGTCAAAAGTGACCAGCCCCGTGGGGATCCGGGTTAATATAGGTCCTCAGTACCCCCTTGCTTGTCGTAAAAGGCGACTAAATGGGGCGGTCCTTCGGATGAGACCGTATAAACCGAGGCCTCGTGTCACAGAAGGTGTGGCACGATAAAGATCCCTCCCTGCTCAATGGCCCTGAGTGCCGAGCATAGGCCTAAATTTGCAGCCCTTCACCGGCAATGGTGACGTCTCCATATCAGTGAAATATTCTGAAGAGGGACTTTAAACAATATACAATCAATCAATCAATCAAAAGTGACCTAATTTTGGAAATAGCATCTCAATGTTGAATGAAGGTTGAATCAACGTTGCACTTCAACGTTAAATCAACGTTGAATTTTGGTGGCATACGAAAGTTGAGACAACGTTGAGAATCAACGTTGTTTCAACGTCAATTTTCAACGTTGACATGCTTCGAAAGAAAGAAGATCGTGTTCAAAATTTAGAATTTTTGCTATCTGTGTCTTTGAAAACATTATGTGACAATTGCTGGAGTTTTACATAAAACAAACGTCTGACTGAAAGTTGTAAGGATCATGAGATCGTGAAAATTAACTCTTTGAACGGTGGCAGTACAAAACGTGCTAGGCTAGGCCTACTTGTAGATTCATTCAATGTTGATCCATGGTAAGTTACACCTACATGTAGGGCGGGGCCACAATGGGAAACAAAGTTTTACATAGAAATATATAGGAAAAATCTTTGAAAATCTTCTTCTCAAGAACCACTGGGCCAGAAAAGCTGAAACTTATGTGCACATGGAAGCATTCTGGGGTAGTATAGATTTTAAATGTCTAAATTATGATCAGTGGGGTAGGGTGGGGATGGAATATGTATTACACGGGGGAAATCTGGTAAAGAACAAAATGGTCAAAGCTTCTCAGGTGAGTGATGTGGCTCATGGGCCTCTTGTTACATGTATTTCCCTTATTCCGTCAAAAAATATTTTGAAATTTTCTGGCGAAAAAAACCCAACACACCTTCCGACCCAATAATTTTACCCTGAGTTGGGAAAGGGCAAGCAAACATTCTTTTTAAGATGTCGTTACGTAACATTTCTTTACAACTTGTACTTTTAAAATGACAAAATTCGCACAGGGGTTGCTCGAAGAACACGTATGTAGAGAGTGCTTGTCTGCCTGACCGACACCGCTTCTTCAATATTTCTGGGACGTCCCCATATCAGTGAAATATTCTGGAGAGGGACGTTTAACAGTATACGATCAACCAATCAATCAATCAATCAATTAATGTCTTGGTTTTCTGTCCTGGCAGTCATCGATTTGAACTGGAGACTATGGAGCTACTTCAGTGCTGTACCTGCAGGAAATACAAACTCTGAGGAGGTTCAAGACCTGTGACAACCACTCCTTGTCAGATACGCTGAGTGATTAAATATGGTTATCATCTATGGCAGAATATGATTAAAAATAAAAACAACTGATATTATTATTCTGTATATAGAGTTGTGAATAAAAGCGTCAACATCTAGATGTATTTTGGCATTTTATGCATATTTTGAAACATTTATTCAACAAATGATATGAATTATTTTCTTATAAACCCATTATTTGAAAAAAAAACGAATATAAAGTAGGCCAAATCTTGATCATATGTACAAAATTAGACAAAAAAATCGAAAATATAGTTATTCAAATCTATTTAAAAAAACATATTAAACCCTGGGTACGTTCTATGTCGTTTCTACTACGTATATCCAATTTTGAAAGATGTTTATATGTTTAAAAGTAAGGAAATAAACATTTGAGTATCACATTTTCACGAAAAAAGTACACCGTTTTATAGTTTCATAGTTTGTGGGGATCATATCATGAAAGTAGCTCGTAGAAAATAAAGAATTTGTGAAGATATGATTCTGTGGTTAAATAATTGTAAAAAAAAAAAAAAGATCTGTGAAAATTGAAGCATCGTGGTGGACAAAGTTAGTTGAATTCTTCATATGTCTAAATCAAGGAATATTTCCTCCTCAAAGAATTATTGATTTCAAACCATTGAAACATGTGCATAGTGCTAGAGCGTTCGCTTCGTAATCGGGAGGCCTGGATTCGATTTTCGTTCGCGGCGCCACGTCATACCTTAGACGTCAGCATAGATAGTGACTGTTCCAAGCGCTCGGCAAGAAAAGTGAAATTCACGGGTCTTTCGAATATGAAACGTTGGTCCCGTATTATGTCACGGTAGGCGTTGGTACGATAAAGAACCCACACTGCTCAATGGCCTTGCGTGCCGAGTATACATGTAGGTCTAAAATTGAGACACTTCACCGGCAACCGGTGACGTTTCCATATGAGAGAAAAATTATCGAGTTGAACGTTAAACTATATACAATCAATCAATCATTATGTGCATAAAAATGTTGTTAAAACACATTTTTCATTTGTACAATGCTTTAGGTGAGTAAATTAATTATCTATTTCAAATAATTGAAATTGCTCACTCTAATGTCTGAATAATTCAAAAAGCAATGCATTTTCTCAAAGTATCTCTTTACAGTTTATCATTATAGTTAATCATTATATATGAAGCTATACAGACCTTTCAGGAAATTGCATATTCTTATACTTACTTGTTATCTGTTAACTCAATCATTATATAATGTGTTGTGTAAAAAGATGGTACTTGCCTTATCATGTATAATAAATTACTTAAAATTTCGTATAATACTTATAAGAATGGCATATATGTAAGGCTAAATAAAATAAATGATATATACGGATTCTCAAAATCTGTATTTCTGTTCTTTGATAGTGAACATATGTCAACTCATAACGAGAGTCTTTCTCACACTTTAACCTCTTCCAAATAGAAGATTGTAAATTTATGCCTTTTCTCTGCACTAAGGGTCACTGAGCAGTGATTACTCTTTTTCGAGCATTCACCTACTTCGGATCGGTACCTCAGTTTTCTGGTCTCTTCCAAAGGACTTTTCAAGCCCTGCATAATCAGCCCCTTACTCTGCAACTCTAGTCGATTACTTTATAATTTTTGTCTAATACTGAGTTAAATATCTCGAAACACATTTTATAAGCAAAACTGAAAAGTTAGGTTCTATTATTGACATACAACAGTTTCTATAGAAATTTTGATCCGCCAAACCCAATCTCCCTCTCACCCCAGAAAACACGTTATGAATGAGCTTGGCTTTTTCTCTCTACTACAAACATTCGATCTCACATTCATAAGAAATAGTATTTTAAAGAATCACATTATTCCCTATTAGTTCACGAATAATGTATTTCTTTACACTAGATATTATGCATTTTTTTTAAAATTATTTTTTATAACTCATGATTCCAAAACATTATCATTCCCTTATTAGTATATAATATATAAATAATGGAAAAGGTGAATATAACAAACAGTCATGATTCATATAAAAATCCATTTGAATTTCCTGACAATTGACATCTGTAATGAAATATATGGAGATAACAAATAGTATTCAAAATTAGGACGAGAATAAAATGTAAAAATTAAGAATTTTCTCGGTTTTGGTACTTTTAAAATAATTGTTTCAAGTTTGTAAAGTTTTTCAGTAACAACAATTTACTTCACCATTTATAATGTGTCAAGCAGGACTATGTTTGTCGGATAGAACATTAAAAGTGTTAAGGATCAAGGAGGATTATGTTTCAAACATCGCAAATGGATGGAAAGTAAATATTAGAAATTTTTTTCAGTGACAAACAATACAAAATACACATTTATAAAGATATTTATGTTTCCTCATGCTGCACAACCTAACCGAAGCTCTGTTTTTACTGAGATATAATCAAATAAAATCAACACCTTTGTTGTGATGAACTATGTCATTGATTAAAATGACGAAATAAGAAAAAATATATACATCACATGATAGGGAATCAGATATCAAAATGTAATCGCACAAATACATATTAATATACTGATCCCCTAAATTTACAGATAAACAGTATTTGCAAAAAATATAAAAAGCAATAGGTATACAGCAAAAAGATGGCACTACAAAAATAAATATGCAACCAAATGTGATTGACGAACATAGTTTGACAAGCGCATTGTGCTATCATTATAAGATATTGAAGAGTGCCATACACATATGGTAAAGAAAATACGTGGCAAACTTTGGTGATGCAGGTTATGGTAATGACAATATACTCATTACTCATTATCATAGTGTGATCATATTTGTGAGCATTTGTGATGATATTTGTTCGCTAATTTCTTGCTTATATCTGTTTAAATCATACTCGTAATTTCCCAAAATCTAGTGTGCTAATTTCTGAATTCCTTGTACACATGAAGGAGACTATTACATTGTACGTTCATTTTACGATTTTTATTTTTAAAAAAACATGATAGAGCGAATAAAATGAAAAAATAATTTAGTAAAAATACTTGTATGGTGTATACAATTTCATTAATATATATACAATATGAATACTATATAAAATCATTTCATATTTTTTTCCTTCTTAATTTAAAAGTTTAAGCAGAAAATCTCTGATAAGATTCTGATCACCTTCAATTGCAATTTGAACAGCTTTTTCTATGTGAGCACCATGTTCTACAAGATATTCAACATTCGTGAGGTGTCCATTCTCCACAGCACAACATAGTGGACTGTAACCATAGAAACTTAGTAAATTTACATTTACACCAGCCTCTACGACATATTTAACAATATAAATGTCAATGTGACCTTGACCAGCAGCGTGATGAAGCGCACGATCACGAATGTCATACACCTTGTTAACATCCATCATTTTACCAAGATATTCTACAACATCTAAATGTCTGCTATCACAAGCAGCAGATAAACAACTAACACCGATATTGAAATCGGCATTATTTTGTAGCAAAAATTTTACAATTTCCAGATGACCATACCTTGAAGCGTAACATAGTGGAGAATCTCCATTAAGGTTACAGATATTTACATCTGCACAACGTTTCACTAATGCCTTTACAATCTCCAGATAACCTTTGCTTGAGGCACAGCATAAAGGAGACGTATTAATATCATCACAAAGACCGTGATTTACATCAGCACATTGTTCTACAAGATATTCAATAACGTGTAACTGTCCCTTCTTTGTGGCGCAATACAGTGGACTCTCATTTTAAAAGCTGAGTAAATTAACATCGACTCCATGTGCTACTAGATATTTCACAATGTCGAGGTGACCTGAACTGGCAGCAGAATGAAGAGGGGGATCACTGTAGACCTGTATGCTGCTTATAAGATATTTCACAATCTCTAAATGACCTCCACATACTGCATAAAATAGTGGGGATCTTCCGTCTTTGTCATTAAGATTGACATCAGCTCCGAGTCTTACCAGTTCTTTCACAATTTTTAAATAACCTTTGCTGGATGCACAACATAGGGGAGACGTATTTGTATCACCACAATAACCCTGATTTATATTAGCGCCATGTTTCACAAGATATTCAATAACATGTAAATGACTATTTTTTGTGGCACAGTAAAGTGGATTTCCAACAGAGGTGAGCAGATTAACATCCGCTCCATGTTTAACAAGAAATTCTACGATATTAAGATGTCCTGAACTGGCAGCGGAATGCATAGGTGGATCACTGATGCCTTCTACTCTATTTACGTCAGCTTTATCGATAAGATACTCAACAGCGTCATGATGACCATTACTACAAGCGACAGAGAGAGAATTTGCACCAACTTGTAGGTCAGCAAGATTTTGAATAAGACATTTTATAATATGAAGATAACCGCGAGCTGACGCATAGTATAGTGGAGACCTTCTGCGCAAATCACAGACATTTACATTAACAGCACGGTTTATAAGATACTTTACTATCCCCACGTGACCTTCACGTGCTGCAAGGCATAATGGAGATCATCCAACTTTGTCACAGACATTGATATCAACACCATGTCTGACCAGTTCTTTCACAATTTCCAGATAACCTTTGCTAGAAGCACAGCATAAAAGAGACGTATTTTTATCACCACAATAACCCTGATTTACATTAGCGCCATGTTCCATAAGGTATTCAATGATGTGTAAATGACCATTTTGTGTGGCACAGTAAAGTGGATTGCCACAAGAGCAAAGCAGATTAACATCAGCTCCGTGTTCTATAAGCTTTTTTACAATGTCAACATGACCTGAACTGGCAGCAGAATGAAGAGGGGGATCGCAAAAGTCATCAACTCTATTAATGTCAATTTTATCAATCAACAATTCTATAACATCATACTGACCACTTGAACATGCGGCAGAAACACAACTTGCACCACAATTCACATCTGCACCACATTTCAGCAGACAATTAACGATTTCTAGATGTCCTTGATATGATGCATAATTTAGTGGAGACTTCACGTCTATGTCACAAAAATTGACATTTGCATTGCTCTTTATAAGACACTTTACTATCTCAAGATTACCCCCAACTATTGCATAATGCAAGGGAGATCTCCCATATTTGTCAAAGTAATTAACATCAGCACCGTTCTTAATAAGGTACTTAACAAGATGAAGATTGCCGAAATACGATGTGAAATGTAGTGCAGAACCGAGGTTTGCCATCGGGGCATTAATGTTAGCGCCCCCTTTCACTAAAGAATTCACCGCGTTTTCATTTCCAAAAAAGCATGAATAAGCAAGAATTAAAATATTGTATTTTCCAAAGCTCACATTGACATCTGCTCCTTTCGAAAGCAAAAACTCAACAATATCATTACAAGAAGACGATAATGCTACAAATGACGGTATAAACCTTTCCTTTAAGATATAATTTGTACATTCGGCTTTTACGTGACGAAAAACCAGCTTGACCATTTCCAAACTTCTACTACAACAAGATAGTGTGAAACAAACAGATTGTAATTCCAGACCGGTACCGAACACTACTTCTGAGATGTCTTTTAAAATGTCATCGTTGACGGAACCTGTTGTTTCTACGTATAAAGCGACTTTTATTTTCGACAATCTTTATAATTCTAGACAATAGATTCACATAGCCATATGCGATAATCCAGGTTATGACTGTGGGCGAATATTTATGCAAAATTTGAAATTTACACTCATATCTCTTATCTATTCCTAATTCTCCTCTTTTATCAAACATTTCATTCATTTGATCTTCTAGCTTCTTCTGTAAATGGTTGCCTTTTGTCTTCATGCTCACACTTCTGAACGTCAAATAATAATTGCCTAATTTCACCAAAGTTCAATTTTTCCAAAGTTCCACAAAATGTTGAAACAAATTTTTCGCATTTCCAGAAATGTCCTATTCTGCTAAATACTTCATAAAACTTGAAATCTTTAATGTCACAAAGGATTCGGTCTACCAGTGCCAAAAAGTGGTCCTCAACGATAGGGATCATATCGTCCTTGACATCCAATATCGTGTTTTCAATTGTTAGAAGTTTGTAAATAGAGCAGGAGGTACAATGTTTAATAAGGCATTCTGGAAAACGTTTTCCGAAGTGAACTGCAACAATTTCAAAGAAATTATCATGAATGAAAAAATATCTACCTTCTGCGTCTTGCATCAGATAAGACCCCTTCAATACCTGCATTGCATGTACAAGTTCTGAGTTAGACGTTGACTGGTTTAGTCTACAGCATTCAAACACGTCTTTTAGACAATTCCTATCAAAGGATTTAGGACGGACACAATTATCCTTAATTACACAGTACACCAAGCCTGCATAATGCACTTTGTTTAGCTCTTGCATGTTATCTAGGTCAGAAAACATACACTGGTACGGAAAGAGAAAAAAATTATTCCCCATTGCCTGATATTTTTCAGTGGATGAGAATACCCTACACAACAGGGGGAACATTGGTAGTATGCTAGGTAACTTTAACTTTTCAAAGCATACTTCCCTTACATTTTTATATTTACAGTGATTCTGTAACATGTTTTTCACGTCTTCATCATTAAGTTCATTGCCTTTGTCATCTAAATTAATGACATGATTGTCATCTGTAACAAAGCTATTCAGCAGTTTCGACTCATTAAACACAACTGTTCTACAACTCATCATTAATTTTGATCCTGATTCTAGTAAGTTTAACAAATTTTCAGAATGTCTACTAAAACTGTTATACAGACTCATATCTAGACCATATACACCTAATACATCATCTACAATGAATAATTGCTTGAAATTTAGTTTTCCATACAGGATGACCTGTTCAAGTGATGAAACAGGAATTATCTCAAATCCGTCTTGTGCAAGCTCCAGAGCAATGTGACGAATGAGAAAAGATTTTCCTCTACCACCACTGCCAGTCACTGACACAAAAGGCGAGGCTCTGATCTTATCAAGGCATTTTTGGTAAGCAGACGTTCTCCAGAAAAGTCTATCCATCTCTCGCCATTTCTGTATTTCTCTTTCATGTTGTTCTAGAGAAACGATGAAAATAAATATACCTTGATATTTGATACTGATTTATTTTTTGTAAGTAATTCAGCAACTCTGAAGTAAAACTAATATTTTAATTCAGATGAATTTACTGACAAATTTTGACCATTACAATCATCACCATCATTGTAATTTTGTGGAGTGTACATTTATATGTTTCACTTTATTTTTACCTATCATGTGCATTGTGTTTGGCATTTAATTTCGAGGGAATTTTTAAAAATAACGAACGTAGGATAACGTTCATATTAAGGCTTTTTTGTATTTTGTTGCCCTGACAACACTGGTCATTTTTCTCTTGCATTGCAATCCATTTCCATTACAAAATTATCAAAATATATATTATTGCAATTATTTTCCTGATAAGACATTGAAATTTTTGTTTACATTTAAGAAAAATATATTTTTTGATTTCCTAAAGTGTCTTTTTTTATGGAGGAACTCTATATGTTAACAAATCTAGTAATAGCCTTAAAAATCATAAGGTGTACCTCTGATGTTTTTTGGAATATGATCCTCTGCAGATTTTTCCACGTTTTGAACTCGTGCTGTCAGAACTGCGAGGAGTCTCTTAACAGATGCCCGTGATGAGTGATCTAAATCTTTGCTCTGTAGAGATTCTATTTCTCCGAGTAACTGGCCTCCAGCAAGTCTTTGAATTATGTGAAATAAAATACACGAACTCATATAAAAACAAGATTTCCCTACTTCTGTAGGATATCTTTCAAAATTTTGGATCTGGTGCTTATGAGGAGAAATCATCCCCTGTTGAACGGTCATATCCACCGTAATTCCTATGTTTTGATCAGGTAGAATAAAAATAAAATAATGGCCAAGAGTACGACCAGACTAGAGTGCATCTGTAGTGTTAATTTCCATATATCATATATGTAGTCGATGCCTTGTACAAAACAACACTTCAATAAACAATCACATACTAGCAGTATTGTTAACAATCATTTAACAAAATCATTTCGATAGACATTCATGTACTAAACAGAGTTAAATACTAGAAATAAGTGTAGGGAAGTAAAACCGGATCCGTAGAAGAATAGACCTTCCTTAAAGAATACAAATCAGGAACAGAGCAAATGCGGTTTTCTAAACCAATCAGAGGTGAAAAGAGGTTACATACACTGAAGAGTGAGTATGTCCAGCCAACTGACAGATAAACAGAGACTTTTTAAGGCGAAAACTTAACTCGAAACCATGATAAACTGCTGAATTGTTATCGCCAGTTTGCGATAAAATTACTCTCAAAAATTAGGAATATACAGTATTAGAAAGATTAACACATTACTTCCTTAAGTTCTTTCCATTTCTTTTCAAACTCATTGTCGCTAATTGACTGAGGGCCATGACAAAGTGAGTTTCGTTGGATCCGGACTCGTTCCAGGTCGTCAGTCGGTTCTATATCTGTGTCATCCGGAGTTTCTCCCCAGTCTTTTCTCGGTTTTCTAACTTTGGTTGTGTTTCGTATTATTTTATACATCAATGATATGTCATATGTTGGTGGTATTACAGAACTATTCCCTGTAAAAAAAATAGCAATATATCAATCTATATTCTAATTTCTTACACCGGGTGAACAAAGGTATCATACGCATTTGTAAGTGCAGAGAAAATATATATTGAAACAAGAAGTAAATATCAAAATCTCCAGTGATTTTCAGTATGATTATTGGAATTCTCCAGTGATTTTCAGTATGATTGTTGGAATTCTCCAGTGATTTTCAGTAGGATTGTTGGAATTCTCCAGTGATTTTCAGTAGGATTGTTGGAATTCTCCAGTGATTTTTCAATAGGATTGTTGGAATTCTTCAGTAATTTTCAGTAGGATTGTTGGAATTCTCCAGTGATTTTCAGTAGGATTGTTGGAATTCTCCAGTGATTTTCAGTATGATTGTTGGAATTTTCATGCACCAGGAACAAGAGTCCAGATACTAGATTACATGAGCACAGATCTCCATCATTATTTGATTTTTAACTCTTCCCATCCCAATCCTCTCCTACAATATAGCCAGGCGAATTTGTTATTCGATGAGGATCGCAGATATACAAGGTTGTCTGAACTAGGACTCTTTCTGAGATCCTCATCGATGACAATAACATAAATTCGCCTGGCCATAATAAAGGGTATGGCATGAGTTGAATATCAAATATTGATGGGAGTGTGTAGTCATGTAGTAGAGGTCCGTTATGATATTTCTTCCCTCTTTTATAACAAGAATATCTAAAAATGGATATTTGTTTTCGCTGATTTCCATTAGAAAAGGAATGCTGAAATATCTATAAAACTGCCAATTTTCCCTATTCTTCGACAATCAGAAACATTAAATCAAAGGATTTACTTCACAGCAGACGTCAACCTCCTTATAAAAAAATCTTACTACGGTCAAATTTACATCAAAGCCTGAAAAACCGATAGATTCAAAGTGCAAGGATCCACTATGCGGAAACTGTCAAGCTCTGCAAATCGGCCAATCCATGATTTTTTAAAACAGAATGAAGTTTAACGACAATTGACGTAAAATCTTTTATCCTGCAACTACCCATTGCATTGATCTAATAAAGGTAACCTAATAAACCAAAGCGCTATTCGGTCAATGCCCTAATTAAGCCTCGTGCATGCATTCTGATGTTCTAAAAGCATTGTGACGTCATGTATATTATAATATTTACTATGGCTTCACAGTTTAAACTGCAGATATGTGCCTAAATCTGTCGAAAATAGTTAGCTTTGGAAGTTCAAATGTAAATATTTTGTTGCAGGATAAACAAAATACATGATAACTGTCTTGAAATAAAAGCGATATTTGGGCTCGGGTCGAAAACGTGAAATGGTTCGGCAAGCCTCGCCCTCTATCACGTTTATTTACCCTAGCCCAAATATCGCTTATATTTCAAGACAATAACCATGTATTTCATATTTATGACGTGTTAATCCAAAAATCATATATTGTATGATGTAAGTGCCCTAAATGTGAGGAAAATTTTATAGGGCAAAGAGGAACTAAATTAGCCAACTGTGTTCGCTTGTATAAGCAACATATTTAGGATCCGACTGTAAGAAACACACCATGTAGTGAACAGTTCAAATCCTGCGGAAAATGGAATTTTATATATTTTCTTTTTACAAAGTAAAAGAGGAAAATGAACAATTACGAAATGCCAAAGAACAATATTTCATAGATCTGTTCAAACAAATCTTAACTGTTTCAAGAAATTTGTATCAAATTATTTCATTATGTACATTTTACATAGATTGTCTCCATTATTGTATATAAATAATAGGCGCTGACATTTTATCAGATGAACTGTAAATTGTCTTTATTTCTGTGCCTCATTTAATTCTGATTATTAAAACGTAACAATCATTATGTTTAACTTTGCCTACATTACTTCACAAAAATGACGACATAAAGTAACTTGTTTATAATTTAAAATCAATTGATGAACCCGCATGGGGCAATTTAAAGCTTGCATTTTTCATTTAAGGAATGAATTAAAAAGCAACCCAAGTTATACTTGTACTCTAGCACCAGGACTGGGACAGATTACGTTTTACAAACTGCACAGCATTTATGTGTCATCTTTTAGAAGACAAAGTATAGATTAATGTTATTTATTTTTATTTTAAAACAATCACTGTACTGCATTGAACTCAAACTATTGCAAGGATGGAACCAAGAATTTTATCAATTTAATCGAAAACCGATTTTTTTTCTTTTCATATTTTTCATGGAGTGTCAGAGACACATCTCTTGATTACTCTTAGTATAGAGCATGCAAGTAAGGCAAAGAGGCTAGAATGCAATCTATATGTTTTCTTAACTTTAAGGTATAAAGAAGGATATGGAGATAACGAACAGTATTCAATATCAAAGTCCATAAAACAATAGAAAATAGGATCAGAGCAAACACGGACTTCCGACACATCAGAGATGGGATTAGGTGCAATGGAGGAGTAAGTATAATGTACTATAACATCCATGAACAATTGAGTTTAATGAGCAATTTCGAGGAGTTAGTTAATTAAGGACAATGTGAACTCGATACAAAAATTGTTACTATGTCCTTTTGAACATAAGTGCTTAAGTGTTATTTGCTTAAAACAGTAAAAACTATTCCTTTGTTACAAAACATAATAAATTGGAACTTCTTAGTGCACTTTTTCCTTACCTGGAAATAATTTCGATATCTGATCATCGTTGCAAATCTTTCTCAACTTTTGTTCATGCCTTTGCAGATGATTTTCTAATTTATCTCGTGGTATGACGGTATCAAACCAAATTCTCACAGCCTTTTCTGCGATACCAATACCCAGAAAATACCGAAGACAATTGTCCTCTTCTTTGGAAATAAATGATGCATTTTCTAAAATAAAAAAAAGAGAAAAGTATACTGAAATTATGTTATATCCGTGGAAAAGTATTATGATTTAAAAGAAGGTTCATAACTTAAATATATTGAAACTATAACAAAAATTATTCTTAAGTATTCCATTGTGGTCATTAAGCTAAGACCTTATTAAATAATCTATATTATTGTCTTTATTTCTAAATCAATTTCTACATATACCATTTAATTTTCCATTTAGTTCTTTACACACCAATTTTGTTGTCCGAATTCTCTGACTGTGAATCCTCTGTTGCGTTCACAGAGGTGTTGGTGTTTGAATTCTCTACTAGTTCTGCTGTATCGCCCATAAGCTGTGATGCCTCTTTATCCGACATTATTGGCTTTTTATCTATATTTACAGTTTATACCTTTACAAAAATGTAATATAATTAATTAAAGTTTTGATACTAAAGTTAATTAAAGTTTACTTAGTAAGTTAACTATAATTGACTATAGTTAATACTTCCATCCTATGATTAACTATCATGTTTCTTTATTTTAAAATTCCTTTCTGAAATTTTAATGCCCAATTTAAGCTATATTAGAAATGAATATAACAAATTTAATTTGCATGTATGAACTACAGAACTTTAATTATTTGCCTGATATCTATTTTTAGATACATGTACTTTGATTCGCCATAGTGAAATCTTTGATTTACTATATTATGAAAACATTGATACTATAGTTAAAAGTAAAATTCTTCTAGAGGACAAATAACCTATGGCAACCCGTGTATAAGCTAACTTTCAGATCTCGGTCCACCTTGACCTTGACCTTAGTCATAAGTCATTGGTCAAGATTATGACACATCCTTGGGTCATGGAGATGAACTGTATGAAGTATTGGCAACATCCAACATACCAGTAAGAAGTTACCGTCCAGATACGATTGAACTGATGGACAGAGACAGGGTAATTCCAAAAGAACCCCCCTATCTTTGATTGAGGGGGTATAAATGGTACAAACGATTTAAATAATCGTACAAACAATTTAAGAAATCGTATAAATGATTTTCTAAATCATTCAAACGATTTAATTTCTAAATCGTTTAATCGATTTTCTAAATCGTTTAATCGATTTTCTAAATCGTTCAAACGATTAAAAAAAATCGTTCAAACGATTTTCTAAATCGTACAAACGATTTTTCAAATCGTTCAAACGATTTTCCAAATCGTTCAAACGATTTTCCAAATCGTTCAAACAATTTAAAAAATCGTACAAACGACTTTTAAAATACTTTCTACATTATCAATTTGGCACGAATACGCCGTCGAACTTACATGTATGTCCCTTTAAAACCGAAATAAAATGTTAAACAAAATCTGACACATCTTTTGCACTTTATAATATTTTGCTAGAGAAATACGCTAATTGTAACCTGACATTAAAATAATATGATAAACATGATGAGTTCAACTTCACTTATTTAAATGTACATGTATCTAAATACCATCATTACCTGAAAGTTAAATTTGTATCATTTAAATGGACTTTCTAGCTTGATTACTATTCGTTATCTATATATTCCGTTCAATTTTAAAAATTCTCAAAATGTCTAGTAGAAGATATATGAAATTGTTCAGTGTTATTGTTTTTTTTCAGCAAGTTTTAATTTAGTCCAAATAAGAACTTCAAGCATGCATCTTTGTGCATTTTAAATATGTACAAGGTAACTTGCTGATAAGATATGAAATACTTAATGGTTTTATTACTTGTCCAAAGTCTGAAATCTTATAACTAATTCATGGTGCTTTGATATAATTATAAAAAAAAACATGTTCCCTATAATTTTCAGAGGTCTGTGTTGGTTCTGACTATAATACATATTGTTTCCTTAAAAAATCTGATTGATCATTGCTACTTATCTGAACACTTTATTTTTCTTTTTCGAGTTTCATTGTAATTGTATACTAATTGGACCTTTGAAAAAAGTAAATGAATCTAATAAACCTCTTTTGATAGTAACCTGCCTCGGTTAAGATAAAATATGAAATACTTAATGGTTTTATTACTAATCCAAAGTCTGAAATATTATAACTAATCCATCGTGCTTTGATATAACTATAAAAAAAATTTTCACCTATAGTTTTCCATTAAAAACCAGGGCATGCAGGTTACTGAAAATTCATATTTGACGCGCACACAAATATATTGATAAATTGTTTTTATCGATCCATATTGATTGAATGCAGTAAAAGGTGAGAATAAATAGAGATATAAAACTTTATCAATTTATATTTGTATCAGTGTCTTTTTTTTACATCTATTTACATGCGATTTTTAAAGAATTAAATCATCTAAAGTATCCGCTATAACGAGTTCATTAACACTATAAAAATCTTTGTAACCCTTAGTCAAATTCATCCTTTTTTCAACAATTTTTTAGTAAATGAATTTGTATTTCATACATGAAAAATGCATGGTTAGTCATTGACACGATACAGCGGAATACGGAATATTGAATTGAAAGGAATGTACATCATGTTGATGATTATACTGTTCAGTAAAATTGTACGAATTATATGCGAACATACACTTCTTGTTTATATTGTTTTACGCCTTTAAAATATACCAACCTATACATTTTTGCAATTATTTTTAACACACTATATTCATTATAAATAAATGCAGTTTTTATACTTTGAACCCATACTGTTGCAAGGATGGAAATACCCAAATGATATATCTGATATGAATAAAATTCCTATATTCAAAAACGACAGCCGTGTTTTTTATTCCATCTAAGGGATATAAGTCGGTTCTGCTAAATTAAAAACTTTGTTAAAAATAGTTGGGTAAGTATGGTACTTGTAATTTTTATTTTAATTATTGAAATATTTACTCTATTTTCTGTAATTTAAAAATCGAAACATTTACATTGTTTTACACTTCAGATAGCAAGATAATTCTTCTGCAAAGATATGATTCAATATCAGAGATATCTAAGCATAAATTTATATACTGTTCATTTTGTTTATCATAGATTTACAAAACATTGTGTAAATTATTTCCAACTCTTAAGTGTTATGGTCATGTATAATTCCAATGCTCGCCAAACACGGAGCCTGCGCCAAACCCCGATGAGTTGATTTCGGTACGCAAGCCAAAGGCTAATTTTTGCTTATTTAATAGTATATGCATCGTAAAGATATAACGCTTTAAATTCCAACGGCTCTGAGAAACAAGATGTGTTTGTAAAACACTATGCCCCCGGCGGCAACAAAGTTAAAAAACATATTTCAGCATAAAGGTCACAAGGTCATTGATCTTGGTGTCATTGAAAAGAACTTGATTAGTGAAGTATGTCTATACCAAATATGAAGTCTCTATCTCTAATGGTTCAAAAATTATGGCGAAGGTTCAAAAAAGCTATATTTAGCATATATTACACAGTCAAGGTCACAATGTCATTAACCTTGCTGTCATGTGGAAGGGCTCATTTAGTGGTGTATGCATGCCGAATAAAGTCTTTATCTTTCTTCATTCAAAAGTTATGATGAAGGTTAAAGTTTGCCGACAAAAAAGCTATATTTAGCGTATAAGACACAGTCAAGGTCACAATGTCATTGACTATGGTGTTATTTAAAAGATTTTATTCAGGGGTGTATGCATATCAAATATGATAGAATATAAGTTATCGCGAAGGTTAAAGTTTGCAGAAAAACTATTTTAAGCATATAGGTCACAGTCAAGATCACAAGATCATTGACCTTTGTGTGATTTGAAAGAACTTAATTAGTAGAGTATGCACACCAAATATGATGTCTCAACTATTCATTGATCAAAAGTTATGGCGAAGATTTAAGTTTGCAGACAAACAGACAGCTAGACAGACAGAACAAAATATACGCTTGGGATCTTTCGATCTGTACACATAAAAAGTAAGGTTTATGACGTCATGATATTAAAAACAAAGAGTATTTTTATGTATAAACATGCAAGTGTTATTAAACATTATATAAAGGAATTAAACAGGCGCCGATCCAGGAATTGAAGTTAGAGGGGGCGCCAAAAATAGGCAAGGGGTCTGGGGGCCGCCTTGAGGCCCCCAGAGGGTCCAGGGCAAAGCCCAGGTGGTGGCCCAGGGGGCAAAGCCCCCGGAAGCTTCTGTGTTCTAGAGATTTTGTAGAGTAAAAATGAGGTCTACCAAGTAGACATATCTACATTTTCTAGACAAAACTGTGATTTACGTTAACTTTGACAATTTTAGGGGGGAGGGGGCGCGCCGGGTGCACCCCCCCTTAAATCCGCCACTGTTAAAAACAAAAGCAAAAAATATCAATAACACGAATACACGATCAATATATACTTAAATAAAGTTTTCCCTTTCTGTATCTGTATAATTAACAAACTATCAAAGAAATGCTTACCTATCGAGTATTTGAAATAGCGAAATCAATTTCTGTATACATTTGTTCAATTTCTTCCGTTATTTTATACGAAATGAATGATCTAATCCTGGCGACCGTTTCACTAACAGGTCGTAGCTCGTAAACGTAGCATGTAGACGTAAACGCGAACGTAGCACGTAAGTGCGTTTCACTAAGAGTTACGACTTGCGAGTTACGACTAAACTTGATCGTAACTCTACGAGTGGTCAGGGGCACTCGTTAATTGACTTGCGAGCACGTAAACAAACAAAAATGGCGTCTTTTCTCCTGCTAGCAGACGATGCGAAACGAAATTTTCGACGAGAGAGGGTTTTCCGGGATCGGACAAACCCCCTCGATTATCTCAATGACCAGGAAGTGATAGAAAGGTATCGCTTACCTCGAATTTTCATATATAGACTTATTGACATGGTAGAAGCCGACGTGCAGAGGTCCACAGGGCGAAGCCATGCCTTGTCAACATCCACACAGGTATAAACATCTCTGTATGAAAATATAACGAAGCCGAGTCCGACTTTGTTGTACATTTAGAGTTATCTTTCTTTTTTTCAACAGGACTCGGCACACCATTGCATGAATATAGAATTTTGCATGACGTTAATATTACTATATACGTATATATTGCTTGTATGCCAAAACCATCCACGAAAGAAATGAACAGAAAAAACAGAGATATAGAGAATGAGAGATATTATTTTTTTAATTCCATTTTGTCCCAAAAACTTATGCATATATAAATTTATGTAAAATAACTTGCGTATATATACCAAACATACGCATTTTATAAACGACCATTCCATTGTCTCCAATCAAAAGCATACGAGATTTTTTTAAATAGTTACAATCGAGGAAAAATAAACTTTAATTTATAATAAATTCTAATAAATAAGGACTTGTTTTTCTCTGTTGTCTTTTGAATGTATGCTTGTGCTTGTTTATTATTTTTTAAATACACTGACTATGCTAATTGAAAAAAGAAATCTGAGGTGGTCATAAATAAAAACAAGAAATATCATACCAAGTTCTGAAAATTAAAAAAATATGTATGAGAATATTGTCCCACTTAAACTTTACAGAGTATTAAGATGTCGTTTAAAATTACTACAAATATTGGAACATTTGTATTCCTTTTTTTTTTTTCGTACGGTTGGAAGTTTGTGGTAGAAAATGAAAGTCGAGTATTAAGCTTGTTTAGAATCTATATATCATTTTGACAACTAGTATTAACATGTATTCGATCAATATTGAGATATTCCGCAAAGCAACCATTAATTTGTAGAATGTATATGACTCTCTTCTCTCAACCCCCCCCCCCCTCCCATCCCCCGATTCTTTGAAGGATAATTTTCACGATTATTTTGAATTTATTACAGAGTAACTTCGTATGTTAAAAATTATTTATACATGTATCTATATATATTAAGAAATAAAATGAATCTGCAACAATGCAAAAATACGTATTATGTAATATCAATTAAGGAAGTCATTACCACCCCACCCCCCACAATATTTCGTAGAATATTCAATTGAATGCTTAATTATGCAATTTTCTAGGTACTTGTTACAATAAGATACTTGTCAAAGGCAGCATTTTTCTCGGAGTGTGGAGATCTTCATGGGGTGTCTCGGTCTAGTGTGTCAAGAGCCATTGACAGTGTAACCAGAAGTATCTGTGATCGGCTTAACAACATCCACTTTCCATCTGGTATGTTAACGTTTCAATTAGTTCTTACAGTCCCATTTACAAATCATACTTAAATTTGATATTCACTTGATAATGATAGCAATGATAAAATAATTTTTAATATTAATTGAGAAGAAATATGTATAGTGTATATGCATGCAAAGCACATTCATGCTCTCTCTCTCTCTCTCTCTCATATGTCAATAAATGTAAAATTCACTTTCCAAAAACCGAAAAATTATCAGTTAAAAATTTCTTTTGCATCTAGAGAATGAAGCATTACGAACAAAACACGAGTTCTATCAGATTGCTGGATTCCCCAATGTCCTTGGTGCCGTTGATGGAACTTTAGTTCCAATCACTGCACCCAAAGACAATGAACCAGAGTACGTTTGTCGGAAGGGCTATCACGCTATAAACGTACAAGTGGTTGCTGATGCCTCCTTAAGGTATAATTTTATTTTTCTTTAAAAAGTGCCAAACAATATAAATATTTTGACATTACTGAATGAAAAATAAATATGTTTTCATTTATATCTCAAGGTTTACAAACGTAGTTTGCAAGTGGCCTGGGTCCACACACGATGCGTTCATTTTTTCTAACTCGGCCTTGAAGACTCACATGGAAACAAGGTAGAAATATATGATATATAGATGTATTTAAAGGTTTTAAAACCACCTTATTTTACAACCTTTGTATGATTTAGCACTTATTTTAAACATTACTTCCACAGGAATGACGGCTGGCTTCTTGGGGACTCGGCATATGCTTTAAAGCGGTACATGATGACGCCCAAGTCCAACCCAAGCAATGAGGCCGAGGAAAATTACAATTTAGCCCACAGCAAGACAAGGGTTGTAGTTGAAAGAGCACTTGGTGTCTGCAAATCCCGATTCAGGTACTATTTAACTAAATTACTTCAATTTTTTTTAAAACAATTCAGAAATTTGGAAAAATGTAAATACTATAATGGATTTTTTTTCTTGTATAGGTGCATACATAAATCTGGTGGGATGCTTTTATTCACTCCTGCAAAAAGTGTGCAGATCATCACAGCTGTGTTTAAGCTGCACAACATGTGTATGGACATAAAGCTGCCCATTGATGGAGAGATGTGCGATAACGACCCAGACCAGGAATCTTCTGGGCTACAAGGTGTTACTGCAGATGGTGCTGGACAAACAGTCAGAAGGAGACTAATACAGAGATTTGCCAATTGAAACTATCAGTCTGTCAAACAATTGAAAAATCTCCTGCTAGTGCAATTTTGGCTTTTTGCAGATGCAAGATCTCTTATATTAAACAAACACTCTCTAAGCAGTTAGTTTTACTTAACGAAGCTTTAAACACCAAAATTTTTTTTTTCAGAAAAAATTCCAGGATATCATATAAAGATGTACACAAGTTTATTCAGTTATAATTTTTAACTTAGGGTGCCTGCCATATTTCCTGAAGAAAAATGTTAGTAGTATAAGGGGTCTGGCCGGCGAGGTCAACTGAGTGCACTTTTGGGGTTGGGGGGATAGGGGGTTCAACGGAGTGCACTTTTGGGGTTGGGGGGATAGGGGGTTCAAGGGAGTGCAGCCCCTGTGGGGGAAAGGGGGTTCAACAGAGTGCAGCCCCTGCGGGGTATAGCCGGGTCAATTCAGTACATATGTTGCATCATCTTTTTATATCTATTGCATCATCTTTTTGATACCTGTTGCATCATCTTTTTAGATCTATTGCATCATCTTTTTGATACTTGTTGCATCATCTTTTTGATACTTATTCCATCATCTTTTTGATACCTGTTGCATCATCTTTTTGATACTTGTTGCATCATCTTTTTTATACCTGTTGCATCATCTTGGGCCTGGGGGGATAGGGGGTTCAAGGGAGTGCAGCCCCTGGGGGATAGGGGGTTCAACGGAGTGCAGCCCCTGTGGGGGATAGGTGGGTCAAGGGAGTGCAGCCCCTGTGGGGGATAACCGGGTCAATTCACTACATATGTTGCATCATCTTTTTATATCTATTGCATCATTTTTTTGATACCCGTTGCATCATCTTTTTAGATCTATTGCATCATCTTTTTTATACCTGTTGCATCATCTTTTTTTTTATACCTGATGCATCATCTATAAGGGGGCTGTGTAGTGCAGATTAGACGGGTCTAGGGGATAGCCTGGTCAATTCATTACATATGCCCCCTAAATACGGGGTGTTTACACTGTGTTTACATTTTACTATACGCTGCTACTACTATTCATAACGCTGCTACTACGATTTTGGCAACAACTCAAGAATGTCATTATGACGTCACGCTTTCATTCACAGTCTAGACGGTCTAGCCAGCCAGCCAGTTCAAACTGGATTTCCTCAAAACAATAACAAATAACACACAAGACAAAAACAAAGAACACAGCAATTTTATTCAGAATGAAAATACATCAATTTACTTCTTCTTCTGTGCCTTATCGGTCATCAGGGATAGTTTCCTCTTGTGAGTAGTGCTGGGGCCTGGAATTTCTCTGTTGTGTTCCTTTTTCTCTTTCTTGTCTCCTTCTTTCACTAAAGGTTTGGTCTGGTGGGTCCCTGAGATCTTGGGTTCCTGAGGCTTTTTCTCCAGTTTTTGTATTTCTTTCACTAACTGGTGTGTCTTCCTTCCTTGTTGGCGAATCTTTTCCATCACTTCTTTTCTAAAATCACCTATATCATTATGAATTATCTGCATGATAAAGGCCATTTGATTTAAGATACCATTCTCATCATCATTCTCCTGTCATCTACATCTAAAAGATCCTGTGTTTCTGGTACGGTGTCCTTTGTATTTTCCTCTGCCATATTTTACCTGTGTCTATTTCCAAGTATTAACGAAGTGTGAACTTCAATGTCCAGCGCTGGTTTATATACAGTGCTGCTATCCCACAAGTTGACATGGGATAGGATCGGATAGGATTCAGGATTGAGGATTCACGATAGAAACATATAGAAGTTAATCCAATCCTATCCTATCCTATCCTGTATCCTACAGCCAATCAGATTCGAGCAAAGGTTTATTCATATTTCAGAATAAATTACAAAAACGAAATACGATATAAAATGTTTACAAAAGAAATATTTATAAATTTTCAATAGAAAATAAAACATTCTTTTCTCTAAACACATATTTACATTATAAACTTCGAGTAACACGGCGTACGATCTAACCGTGAACGATCACCGGAAGAATAAGCCTTTTCACGTTAACTGCGGTCCTGTTTTTAGCGCATGCGTATAAACGCTTCCGGACGGCAACAAAACATCCGCATTCCAAGGTTGTTTACAATAACAACGTAATGGTCTTTCACTGCGTTGTTTACCAGTGTTCTAATCGCCAAGGCGAGAAAGCAAAGGGCAAGGGCATAAGTTTTTTCAGATTTCCAAAAGGCAGTAAGAAGAGAAAGGCATGGATTCGTGCGATTAACAGAGATGACTGGGCACCGAACGAATATAGTCGAATCTGCTCTGAACATTTCGTAGGGGGGTGGCACAGCGACGAGGTGGAGGATGAGAACTATAGACCTACAATTTTCACCTACAAAGAAAAACCCCAAACTGACTCTGACGTAGCTAGGGAAGAGAGAAAATGCAGAAGAAAGATTTGCAGCAGGTAGCTTATATATAAGCATATAAATAAACACACTATGTAGCCTGGTATCTCATGGATTCGTGGTACATACCGATTCGTAATGAAATAAAATCGATTAACAAAACTTTTAGCTTATTGTTGTTGTGATTTATTAATAATAGGGTTAAATCTCTTCTTTAGTAAAAAAATTGTGTTATTTCATCACTTATCTGTGTCAAAATTCAGCTTAAAATATGTGGTGTTTACACCGCTGTAGAAAAATCTAGCGTCTCATTGATTCGTGGTACGTCATCAAAATCTGAATTATTGGTATGGCGTGCTATTTCGGGCACAAATACTTCATAAAAAAGATAGAAATATTGACAAAAATTGATTTTTTTTCAATGAATTATTTAGTTTATTGCAAATACCTTTATTTAGTTTTCTATAGATAATTGCAGAAAAGTACATTACCTGCGTCGTAAAACATGTTTTGAAAAGATTTTTTTTTATCAATAATTAACATTTAAATATGTAAATAAATATTTTTACAGTGAAAATTGGATTTCATAACAAATTGATTTGTATTTTAATTCCTGATGTAAAAAGAGGGAAAAATAATTGAATTTGAAGGACGAATATCTTACAGTTACTTGCTATAGTTATCTTATGGCTCCTGGTAATGATGAATAAAAAAAAACACCGATTTTTAACACTAGCAACTTTCCCTACTTTATTCAATGCCCAGCAACACCACTTGATATAAACAGTCAATCATGCAGACGACATATGAAAATTCATTTGAAATTAATTTACCTACTATTTCGTACCGGTTTCGCTATTTTTAGAAAAACAGGTATGACATCCAAAAGCGACTAATATGGATGTAAGTGTAATTTGTATATTTTTTACATTACTTTCCGAATTTTCCGTCATTTAAGCTGAATAATGCCCCTTTGCTTACATCAGGAACTCTGCTTTCGATTTCTCAAAATAAATTTCTGGAATAGTGCATTACGCGTGCGCAATGACGGAAAAAGAAAATACCACGAATCAATGGGTACCACGAATTCATGAGAAACGACCATGTATAGTTATAGTCATCTTCATAAGAAAAATGCATTATTATAATCATGATTATATGCCTTCGTTTTTAGCTAGGTCTCTTTACCTATTAATATAAAATTTAATAGAAAAAATATTAACCTATTCACATTTTTAACCCGACCCATAAAATGAAGCCCTAGCTATATATAGATTAAGTAAAATTCTATATTAAATACTCATAAATACCAATTCCTTACATTTAAAACATATGACAATTAATTCTGGAGGATTTTTTTTTGTATGACACTTTCAATGTTTGAATTTTAAAAAATGATTGACAACATGTATTAAAGTTTGAAATAATTTGCACCATTTTATTACCTTGAAACTTCAAATTGTAGGAAATTAATGAAGCAGAAGCTAGGGACAGACGTTTAATGCAGCAGCACCATGAATTTAGCTTATACACCCACAGCTATTGCTGTTTGCAACCCCCAGAGTCAGACTCTCAGGATATGAACAACAACAGCACCTTCGTACCAGATGAGACATTGAAATTAGATGACATTGACATAAAAACCTTTAATGATAAAGGTATAAATATACATGTATAAGGCAAGGAATATCTGTAATGTGAAACATATATATATATATATATATATATATATATATATATATATATATATATATATATATATATATATATATATATAGAAAAATAATCCAGAGTTTGGAAAAGATGATCACATTTTATAGCAAC